TGCGTACCTCACCAGGCACAGACACGCAGCTGGATGTTCATCACTGAACACTCCTATGTGAATATCCCGGATTTGAGGAAACAGAGCCAGGTGTCTCAGCTAGTAAAAGGCAGAATCAGGATTTCAGCGGAGACTGTAGTTCCAGGAGCTGTGTCCATAACTAGAGGTCTCCTGCCTGCAGGTTCCAGAGCCCCTGTTCCTCCCACACCTCTGATCCCCGCCTGCCTCCAAGTGGAGGGGCTGAGTCTGAGTTATCTCTGAGTGAAGGCTGAGCCAAGGTCCGGGCAGCAGAGATTTGCTGAAGTTAGTCTCTGTCTGTGCAGCTGAAATGGGAAGACCCTCGAAGGCAGAGGCTGCTTAGTAATAGTATCGTGTTCCTCCCTCCTCTTACCCCCAAGTCCAGCTATGTGTAGACAATGAGTACATAACAGAAGAAGAAATGAATGAATAAGTGAATGAAAGAATGAGTGAACCTTTGTCCCCACCACATGCAGTACAACTTTTGGTCACAAGTTCACAGATGCCCTCCTCCACTCCTGGGCATCCTGCCAGGTGTGTCCCGGGAGATTCCAGGGTGCTCACGTACCTCCCTTCTTCACCTCAAGGATCCCCTCCTTTCCAGAAGACCCTTCCCACACTCCAGCCTGAGTCTGGAAGCTGACCCCATCTCTTGGCCTCCCTTTATTCCGCAAATGCTGACTCACTGGGTCATCAGCTCATGCCAAAGACAATTAGGGAGGGCAATTGGCTACAAGAAAATCCCTGATAGTTGGCCAAGGAAAGTGCTAAGCAAGAGATAAGCAAAGAAATTGCTTCTTGGATTGACCCGGGCTCTGCCTCATTGCTTCCCTAACAGGGTATCTTCAGAGACTGATTTTTGTGTGCTGAGTGAGGACAGGCTACACACAGGCTCGGTTTCCTAGTCTGTGTCAAAGAGCACTAGTGTGAAAATCAGAAGACTGATGCTCTTGTTGTGCCAACCCTACTGTGTGACCTTGCCCCTTGCCTTCCCCTCTCTGGGCCTCAGTGTCTCTCTCTGTAAAGGAAGTGTTAGGTTGTTGGCCCATGTCTAAGATTCCTTTCAGTTCTAACATTACTGGAAATTATGTCTGAGCTGCTCTGGGCATCAGATTCCTAATCTAGCACCAACAATAATCATGCTTCTTCTTCTATTAGCATAGGAAAACTTGGAAAAATGGAAAGGTAGATTACAGATGCACAGCAAACTCCCCGAAAGATCCTATGCCTGTCACTAGGGGAAACTGAGGTTGAAAGGGAGCAGAATCTGCCACCCCAAAATATGCCATTTTGCTATACTGATTATTTTGACATAAACATACTTAAGAAAACTACTTAGGACACAGCAAGTGCAAGAAGGACACTCTAACCCTCTTTTGTCTCCTGAAAGCAGGAAGTAAATCTCCCATGTGAAGTGCACCTCCCTGCACCTGAGGGTAAATGGCATCCTTATCACCAGAGATGGGGAAGTCAAGGCTGAGAAGGCTGTAGAAACAACCTTTGTCACTTTCTCTTTAATTGGATAGCCCAACTGAAGTCCCTTTGCTTTATCAAATCTTCACGAATGTTTCTCTGTCTAGAAGGTATAAAGTCTGCTTGCTCTGGCCACGTTTTTGAGTCTCATATTTTGATGAGCTCCTGAATGTACAAAATTAAGTTTCTATTTCCCCTGTTAATCTGTCTTGTGTCAATTTAATTAACAGCCCAGCCAAAGAATCTAGAAGGCAAGAAGGGAAAAGTTTTCATCTTCTGCAGCTTCCTGTGGTCACGGAGGTCTGGCTGTGGTGGGTTAGGAAAGCCCTGGGGCCCCTGAAACAGCCATGGCTGGTGGTGGCCCCACCCCAAACTGCCTTCATCCTCTTCCAGTCTCCACCAGAAGATACTGGAGGGCTGGAACTCACCAGCCTTGATCAGTGGTATCCACTGCTTACCGGCAGCCTGCTTTTCTTTGTCAAGTCAGCGGGGGTGTAAATATTTAGGTAAAGACAATCTTCAGAAAACTGGAAAGCAATCTTCTCCTTTCTGAAGGTAGCAACATCTGAGGTCATTTCCATAATCACTGGGTCCTGGGAGCACCTGAGAGGGGGAGGAAAAGAAGAAGTCCTGAGGCTCGATCAGAGCTAAGCAAGGAGATGTCTCCTATGGTCAGGCTGGGCCTTGGACTAGGAGGGTTAGCTCTGTAGCAGTTTTGTTCACATTCAAGATACTGGAAGGGTTAGGACGTTGCTTGGGGATTTGGGAGGGGGTCCTGGGACTCACTAAGGCCTTGCAGAACTGTGTATAGTGAGGAGGCCAGGCACCTGTCCCCTTCCCAGAGCCTTCGGGATGCCCTGGGTCAAGGAGAGGAGGCTGCCTCTACACCTGGGAGAGGACCATTTCCTGCATGCCCTGGACACAGTCTGGCTCCCCACTGGCCTCCATACATTGGGATGCAGTGTGACCATGTTTCTCCACCAGGTAAACCAGGTGTTCTAGTCCCAGGAGACCTCCATAAACCATGAGAAGTCACTCAAACGGCAGACATTGAGGGCGGACAACAGGTGTGGGAGGAAACACTTATGAGGCAACATTAAAAGAACTGTGCTCTAGTCCTGCCTCAGCCACTAATATGTTTGGTGACCTTGAGTGAATTCCTTCCCAGCTTTGGGCCTCAATCTTCCAGTTCTTGATGAGAGGAGTTATTTCTATAAGTGTCTTGCATCCCTGAAATGCCAAGATTCCATCATCAACCTCTCCCAGGCAAGTGCTGTTGGTAACCCTAATAACAGATCTTAAAGATCCAACATAGATTATAATTGGTAACATTTACTGAGTCCTCCCAGCATGCCAGGTCTTGTTTTCAGTGCTCCATATGTGCTGTTTCATTTAATCTTCAAATCAGCCCCATGACATAGGTGCTCTTACTAACCAGATCTTATAGTCAAGAAAATAGAGGCAAAGAGAAGTTAGAAATCCTCCCTTCACACAACCAGAAAGATCCATACTCTGGAGTGCTTATATTTCCAAGGACATTATAAGCAACAGTTCCTGATCTCAGTGCACCCAGAAGGCAGGCATCACTGCCCTGGTGTGTAGATGAGGTGGCTGAGGCGCTAAGGTGCTTGGACGTCCCAGCTGTCAAGTGGCAGAGTCAGAGGCTGCAAAGATGACTTCCTGATCTCTCCCCTGGGAGAAATTTCGCTGGATCCCTGAGAGCAAGGGGCCTAATATTCATAAAAGAAGAAATTCAAATGTCAAAGAAGGGATCAACACTAGTATTCATACAATGCTGAATAAATAGCAAAATTATGTATATGTAATTGTGGTGATGATAATAATAATTATTTTGCCAACACATTAGCCAAGAAACGATTTTTAATGACCCCTGGCATTGCCAAAGGTCCAGTGAATGGAGGGTTTTGTATATTAATAAAAGGAGTGTGGTTGGAACATTTCTGAAGGGAAATTTAGCAAAAGGTGCATATTCTTTCACCCAGAAATGTTATTTTTTAAATCTTATGCAAAAATATACATGAGTGTGCAGAAAGCTTTAGCTACTGGACGTCCATCAACAACAAGAAGGACCCACAGCTAAAATATATAACTATATACTGTGGGGATTTGGGGAGAAAAAGCAGAAATAAAAGGATATTCATCAGAGTGCTATTTTTATGATCAAAAACATCAAGAATGACTCAGGGACCAGAAAAAGATGTTGGGTAAATAGATTGTGATTCCACATCTAAGTTAAAGTAGCTGTTAAAAGTTAGGCTGTGACGTTTAATGACAAGGATGATGCTCATGATACACTGATAAATGAGCAAAGCAGCATCCAAAATTTCCGTGTAGTGTGACATGATGCTGTAACTGATAATAAGAAATATAGATTTGGTCTTGCTCCAGTTCCTGCCACAGAGCTCCTAAAACCCTTGGAACTTTATAAGTGATGAGAGCTATAAAGGTGTCTTTTGGTATATTAATGAAGTGACTTTTAGACCTCACCTAAGGATATGGGCTGGTGGCCAGGAGAACCAACCAGTGATGAGAGGTTTGGAACTTTCAGTCCACTGCCCTGACCTCTGGGGAAGGGAGAGGGGCTGGAAGTGAAATCAAGGGTCACTGGCAATCAATCATGCCTCTGCAATGAAACCTCCATAAAAAACCTAAAGGACGGGGGTTCAGAAAGCTTCCAGGTTGGTGAACCGGAACCCTTCCCCATGCCACTGTGCCAGGCCCCAAACTGCACAAGGAGAGAAGCTCCTTGCTTCAGGACCTCACTCTGTGTAACTCTTCCTCTGCCTGCAGATTCGCATCCTTTAATATTCTGCATAACAAACCAGTCATCCGGCAAGTAAACTAATTCCCTGAGTTCTGCAAGCTGCTCTAGCAAAGCAATGGAACCGGAGCTGGGGGTCATGGGAACCTCCAATTTACAGCCAGTCCATCAGAAGCACAGGTAGCAACTGGGACTTGCGAATGACATTTGGACCTGAGGATAACCTTTTGGGACTGAGCCCCTAACCTGTGACATCTGATGCCATCCTCTGGTAAACACTGTCAGAATGGAGTTGAACTGTAGGCCACCCAGCTGGTGTCTGCTCAATAACCATGTGTTGAATAGAGGGCTCTAGAATGCTCTGAGAGTTCTGGAATGTCTCTAAGGATCTACAATGTCTTGAGGATTCCAGAACAAAGTATGAGCCACCCGGAGGATGGCCTTGGCTCCTTCCTGTCTTTTTGAGACGCACACACACTGAAAGATGCCAAAACCCCCGGCTTACATGGGAGGGTAGGAAGTAGTGTTCTTCACGAAGGGCCATGGGTCTGCAGGCTGAGGCGGAGCAAACCTCAGGGATCCCAGGGGGGGCTTGGCAAAAGGGACCCCCAGGAAAACGGCCACGGGCTGTGCAAATCCTTCCAGGCTGACGTGCTTCCCCAGGACCTTGCCCTGCGCGGTGTCCACCACAGGCGGCGAGGATGGGTGCCCTGCGGGACAGCGAGAGGAAACGAGGACACGTCAGCGGTGAAAGCCTTGACCTGGATTCTGGGAGACTTGACACTCTCAGCATGTGACCTTGAATGAGTCACCTCAACTCTCTAGGCCTCAGTTTCTTCTTATGTAAAAGGGAGGGGAGGTTAACTGTGCCTCCTAACTCCCAGGGCTGTCTTAAGGAGCAAAGTGGACATGGAAGTAAAACGGCATCAAGTGAGAAGGAAATGCAAGAAGGAGAGCTGCTGGGAGTGAAGCAGACATTGGGTTGCGCTCTCAGGAGCCCTGGAGACAGTTATCCACGAGGATCCTGGCGCTGAGCTGCGTGCTGGATGGGAGGATGGATGAGAGGCGGCCCCTCTTCTCAGAAGCTCTGAACCTTGTGGAGAGAGCTACTGCTGGGAAGAAAGTGGTCAGTGTCCTGAAAGAGGAACCAATAAGGTCCTACAGGAGTTAGAAGAGGGAGCGAGGCCTTCTGATTGGTGGCATTGTGCAGGCAGTGACCTTAGAGTTGGGACTTGAGCAGTGGGGGACAGAGCAAGGGAAGATGAAAGAGGGGTATAAAGGTATAGAGCAGAGAAGAGAATGTGCCGAGGCGAGGCTCTGAGACAGCAAAAGGCAAGGGCTGCCTGAGGAAAAGTGATGGCCCATGTGAGCCAGAGGGAGTCTATGGGAGCGGAAAATAATCCTGGGATGAGCGAAGCTCATGTCTGGTAGGGCCTCGAATGCCAAGCTAAGGATTTGGGCTTTCTTGTGGTTAAATGAGCAGCAGTGCACAGCTCTGGAATACAGGAGAGTGACACCATCAGCTTGAGGAGGATTCTTCTGGCGGCTCTGAGCAGGGTCGTCCAGAGGGGCTGAGACTGGGGTCAGATCCCCGTCTGTTCCGTTCTTGTGGAGCAGACAGCTCTTCCTCGCTGAGCCGAAGTTCCTCCCCTGCAGCTTCCACATCAGCCCTGCTTCTACCTGCTGTGGCCCGTCCTGAGCTCCCATGTGGCAGCGGCCTTGCAGACCCCTGAGCATGCCCATCCCTCAGGCCTCCTCTTGTCCATCCTCAGATTCTTCAAGCGTTCCTCGTAGGAAATGATGTCTAGCCTCTCGTCCTCCCAACTGCTCTCCTTTAGGTGTACACAAAAGGGCAGCATCTCCCTCAAAGTGTGTGGCCAGAGCAGAAAGAATAACCCAGACTTGTTCTTAAAGAAGAATATCCAGTGCTAACCTTCAGGAGAGATGAAGTGGACAGAAGCCAGATGCCGAGGGTGACAAAGTGGGCGATGGGGTGAGAGGCATCAGCCATAGTGGTAAGAGCAGCAGTTACCTCGTGTGTTAAAGGTAATGTTTGTGTACTGCGCACTTCCTATGTGCTGGATATGCATTTCAGGCCAGCTAAATTAATCTGCACAAGAGTCTTGCTAGATAGGTGTTCATGTGCCCGTTTTACAGATGAGGAAGCTGAGGAAATGGAGGCACCCAGTATGGACTTTCTGAAGATGGAAATGGGATGGCCTTGCCAAGTGGTGACTATTGGTAAAGGAATGATCTCCCCTAATTTCATTATTTTCTATCCTGACACTCAGTTCCCGGCCTCTCATGGTGTCACACCACCAAAGAAAAGATAAAACTCAGACGGAGCCTGGGTTGTCAGGACACTGATGACCAGAGCACTAGCTCTCGATTCAGGAGTCACAGATACATTCTTGAGCGTGATTTTCATTTTTTTAACGACTGACTCTTAGCTAAAATTTGTTGCCAATCTTCTCCTTTCTTTCTTTCTTCTTCGCCCCAGTATGTAGTTGTATATTTTAGTTGTAGGTCCTTCTGGCTGTGCTATGTGGGACGCCACCTCACCATAGCTTGATGAGCCAAGCTAGGTCGGTGCCCAGGTTCTGAACCGATGAAACCCTGGGCCACCAAAGCCGAGTGTGCGAACTTAACCACTTGGCCACGGGGCTGGCTCCAGATCTTGATTTTCCAGCTGTACTTGAACAACTACATTTCCCTTCTGAGTCTCCATACTGCAACCTATTCAACGGGGTAGACACATTCTAAGGTCCCTTGCTGCCGCCTTGTATTCATCATATCTTTCATTTTCTCCATTGTGATGCTTTGACATCGGGGCCCCTGCTGACCCTGAAGGGACCACCCCTCCCAGACTCAGCCATTCCTAAAGGCAAGAATCAGCCTGCCCTTCCAGCATGCCGGAGCCCACACCCCGACCACCTTCTTTATCAGGTTCCTGCCCTAATCACTGCAGGGCCAGGCACCTGACAACTGCGGACAGCCCCCAGGCCCCAGAGCCTGTTGAAATTGTTGAGTTTGCCAACCCTAATCCTGCTTATCCTGCCTCACCCCTTTCTTCCCACAGCACACAGCAAGAAGACTCTTGTCCTCAATTCCTCCTCCTCCCTCTGCCTCCTGACCTCTCGGTGCCTCACGTTGTGGCCTCCATGGTGGTGACGTGCCCCCTTCCTTTGGGAACTGTGAGTAACAAACTGTCTTTGCAATGGCAATCGGCTTCTGGTCTGATGGTCTTACAATATCACAAATTTCTATTAATGCACTATATTTTAAAACAACTCCTTTATTTATGAACCCTTTTTTTGCGCTCTCTCCATATCAGGCACTGTGCTCTTTGGAAACAATCACCCACTTCCTCCTCAGAACAGCTCAGTGAGGCAGGTACTATCCTCATCCCCATTTTAGAGAGGGGAAACGAGGCACAGAGTAGTGAAGTAAAATGCCCAAGGACACACAGCTAGTAAGTGGAATCCACACACTTCTGCCCCAGAGTCGATATTAATCTTCTGCTAAGCCACTCTCCATGATTTGGCCACATTCAGACTAATATCAAGGGGAACAGAAACGGAGCTCTCTAAAGTCCGCATCTGGGGGCGTCAGGTTAGCTGGTGACCTCCTGCGTGCAGCACTGGTACCTGAGTTTGGGTGTTTATCCTCCCCTGAACAGGATGGTCTGGGCTGGGCGATCCAAGTCTCAGGGCAGCTGCTGCAGAACCCGACCTGTCACACCTTTGTCCTGTATGTGTGTCCCTCATCTCATCCCAGGACCAGCATTTCCAATGTGCCCCCCATTTGTATTTCAGAAGGACTCACCCCAGACTGTAGAAGTGGCCAAGGAGACCAGGACCAGAGCGAAGAGCCACATCGTGGAAGGACAGCAGCTCCTGGGCCTGCAGGACTCAGCGCTGCTGGAAGGAGCTGTGCAGTCAGCCCCAGAGCCCCGCCCCTGCCCCGCCCCTCAGCCCCACCCTCCCAGCCAATAGCCTAATCATGCAGGAGAGCTCTCTGCCTTCCAAAGATGCCTCAGGGCATTTTTTGAACCTCCAGGCCACAGGTCTCAGAGTTTACCCTCTTTTATCTGAGCATCAGGGACTAAACTCTCCAACGAAGATGGCCACATACTGGAGAAACAGCTTGTTACATAACAGTTTATTCCTTCCTGGACTGTCACCTCAGTGCACTGTGAGCTTCCCAAAGCCAGGCACAAGCAGACAGACTCCTTTAGACAAGGAGACACTCGGTCTGGGGTTCCAAGAACAAGCTTGAAAACTTTTAGAGCAGATCCCAGAGCACAGCTGCTGAGCTGGGGAACTGAGGACAAACCTCTTCTTTTCCCCGGGCTTCTATTTCATAGGGCTGTATGCTGTCAGGTTTGGAAGCATCTTAAATTGCATCCAGGCTCCATTCTGATGCCTGAATTACCTTTACGATATTCCTGCCAGTTGACTGAGCTTCCTGTCGCACACCACGCAGGTCAGGGAACTCACTACCTCTAGACACAGGGATCTTCGAGCAGATTGTTCTTACAATAAGAAACTCCATCCCTCCATAGTCCCTGGTTCTATTCATTCCTTCCTTCATCTGTCCATCCATCCTTCCATTTATTCATTATTCTATTTATTCATTCATTCTCCAAACATTTAGCAAATGTCTGGCGCTGTGCTAGGTGTTATAAACACAAAGGTGAATTTTAGACATGTTCCATTTCCTCAAGGAGCTCACTGTGTTGTAGATAAGACACAGGAGTGGGGGTGGGGGTTGGTTTGCAATGCAGTGTGAAAGCACTGAAATACAGGGATGCAAAGTGCTCTCGGTACACATTGGAATGTCATTTATCTGCTGGGGACATGAGCAAGATGCTCGAAGCCTGTTTCATAGAATCATTGAATGTCTAACAATAGTGAATCCATTAAAGACACTCTGGTACAGCTGGCTAAGGACATACTATGCATTCACTCAAACTAGTGACGCACACGGCTATTTATTGGCAAGGAAAGACAGTCACGATCTATTGTGAAGGGAAGAAACAGGTTATAAAATCGTTATGGCTGTTGGGGGCCAGCCCAATGGTGCAGCAATTAAGGTAGCACGTTCCGCTATGGTGGCCCAAGGTTCTCAGGTTCGGATACCGAGTGTGGACCTACACACAACTTGTTAAGCCATGCTGTGGAAGGCATCCCACATAGAAAGTAGAGGAAGATGGGCACGAATGCTAGCTCGGGGCCAATCGACCTCAGCAAAAAGAGGAGGATTGGCAGCAGATGTTAGCTCAGGGCTAATCTTCCTCAAAAAGAAAAAAAAATCATTATCCCTGCTTCGGGAAACAGTTTGGCAGTTCCTCAAAGATTAAACGCAGAGTTACCATATTTCCCAGAAATTCCCTTCCTAGGTCTGTACTCAAGTTAGTTGAGAACGCGTCCAGACAAGAACTTGTGCATCAACAGCAGCAGTATTCGTAACAGCCAGAAGGAGACACAACCCAACGTCCATCAACTGATGAACGCACAAAGAAAAGCTGGTCTAGCCAGACAATGCAATATTGTCCAGCCATAACAAGGAATGAAGTACGGATACTTCCTACAACATGAATGTTTTCACTCACTCCAAGGAAGAATCTTGAAAACGTTACGCTAACGAAAGAATCCAGACACCAAAGACCACATATAATGTGATTCTATTTATAAGAAATGTCCAGAATAAGCCCCTCCACAGAGACAGAAAGTGCATTAGCATTTCTCGGGGCTGGGGCAGGAGAGGAGGAGGAACCACTGCTAATGGCTGTGAGGTTTCCTTGTGGAGGGAGGGCAGGGTTCTGGGAGTAGATAGTGGTGATGGTTACACACCTCTGTGAATACAACAATACCACAGACTTGCACACTTTAGGAAGGTGAATTTCAGGGTTTTTGAATTATATTTCAATAAAATAAATATTTTCTTGAAAATCCAGTCATTTATAATACCCCACTTTAGTAAAAATATATATATCTTTACTTGCACAGGAAAAATTCTGGAAGGTTACTAATCTGATTAATATTACAAGAGCCATTGCCTGGCTGTAGGATTGTGATTGTTTATGCTCATTTGTATTTGCCACTTTTATTCATTCAGACGTTCATTTTACTGTGCCAAACACTGTGCTATGTTTCACTTGCAGGATCTCACTTAGTTCTCAAAATAACCCTGTGAGTTGATACTATTATGTCCTGGGGCTCAGCCAGGTGAGGAACTGGCCCACAGTCACACATAAAGTATGAGGAAGAGCTGAGGATTGAACAAAAGCTGCCTAACAAGACGGTCCATACTCTCAAACATGCTGCTGTGGTGTCAAAAACTTTCTGACAAACCTACTCTCTGTTGCCCTAAACACATGCGTGATGCCCCTGTGGACGAACGCATATAGCCTCTGTCTCCTGGGATCTCCTCCACATCCGCCCCTTCAAAGTGCTGTACCTTCCTGCTGACCCCTCCTGGATCCTCAGGCTGCCTGGAAGGCTGGTTGGCAACAGGAGTGCTGGGGTTCCTGGGAGAGGTGGTCACCAGGTGGTGGAAGGCTTGCTGATGGCTCTAACTTCATGGTCTCCTCTCCCAATGTGGACTTAAGACTGAGAAGATGCTGCCTGGCCAGGAATGCATGCCCCAGTTGCCCTCACATTAACTGGAGTCTTGGGATTCATTCTTGCCAAGGGAGAGGGGGCAGATGTGAAGCATCGTTGTCTCCAGGGAAGTGCAGTAAAAAGACAACTGTGCCTTCCAAGCACTCACACTGTTTTCTCAGTGTCATTGGCAAGCCTGCCTTTGTCCACTCCAGACCAATATTGACATCAGAGATTATCGGACCATCCGCAGCCTTAAAATACCTGAAAATATTAAAAAGCTCGTGGGTTCTTGGCCATGGCCATAGTCATAGGATATAGCTGAAATGAAGCTTCTGGAGACACAAATTCTAAAAGGGATGCTCATTTGCACTAATTCTAGACACTGCGGCAGGCTGGTGAGGAGGGGTCTGTGGTGGGGTGAGGACTTTATGACAGCATTAGAGTCAGTCCTCAGACATCTTTGCTTCTGCAAACACTGACCTGGCCTGTGTTCCTCCCTTTTATCCAGGAAAGAAACACGGGTCATAAAGAGCACCCTAGTGAAGAGCACCCCTGACTCTGTCCACACGGAACAATCTAGTTGGTTCTCACAAATAGACAACAAGGCTGTTTGCAAGCACTTAGCACAAAGCACATACACACAAAAACACACTCACTCAAACACACTACTCAAACACACAGGCACACCCCTGTTAAGGCATAACCATCCTGCCCCTTTATCCACTCAGTTGGCCATTGCAACCTGGGCACACAGTAGTAGTACAACCTGGGCTTGTAGTTTATGAAGATTTTAAGGTGCTGAATTAGCACATTATAAAAGGCAGGGATGAATTATTCTCCTAACCCCAACTGTTCAACCTCATGCCCACTTGTGACACCAACCAATTCTACAAACAGGGGCAGCCACTCCCAGAGCTTGCTGTGTCTGATTGCAGCCTGGAAGTTCATTCCTGGCTCATGATGACTCTGCAGAAGTGATGGGAGAGGCTGGAGTCTATGAAACTTAAAGCCAGAGCTCAGTTTTGTTTAATGTGTATAATCCCCGTGGGTCACATTACCTGTAAGGAATACAGATACAGCTCTTCTTGTATCAGTGGCAGTTGATTGGGATTATCACTTTCTCTTGGGGAACTCCCTGAGACTTCTTATGTAGAACTAGATGATCTGAAGAGTAAAATCCTAGGAATTGGACTTAACTCCTAAGTGGCTTGGCAGGTCTTAGGAGAGAAGACACCTCTAGGGGCTCCAAATGAGCCTCCCAAACCTCCCATCCTCATCAATTTATGCAGTAGATATACGGAGAGGACATACTGGAGCAAACATTGAACTGCTATGAGCTGCTGTCCTCCTGGGCCCTTCACTTGACTTCATCTACGGACCATGGGATTAACCAGGCAGAGCCTTCAAGGTGGAGAACACTGTACTGGGAGCCCAGATGTTAGCAAACCCCACTGGGTGACATTCGGGGATCCTCTCTGGGAATGGGGTGGTAAGAAGCAGGGTTGGCTATGGGTTGGTGATCTCTCATGCAAAGTCCACCTTTGATCAATGCTCTGTGAATCTAAAATTCTATGACATTTTCCACTGCATCCTAGACACATGAAGTGTTTCTGGAACCTCAGTTATTCTCCTAATAACATCAGTTTTTTGCCATATAAGCATACCATCCTACTATTATTAGCAGCTATCCTTAAGTGAATTAGTTCTTTTTACTATAATCCAATCATTCAAAAAGGAAATTTTATAGCATTTCCAACACTGAAAGACCTGTATAACCTGCTATGAATTAAAGATAAGTATGGAAAATGTGTCATTGTATTTTTAAAAATTAAAATGATATTAAAATAAAACTTGAATAAGGAAATACAAGGGGTCAGCCCGGTCCCCTAGTGGTTAAGTTCAGCACACTCTGCTCCAATAGTCTGGGTTCAGATCCCAGGTGCAGACCTCCACCACTCGTCAGCAGCCACCCTGTGGTGGTGACCCACATTCAAAATAGAGGAAGATTGGCCCACATGTTAGCTCAGGGGGAATCTTCTTCAGAAAAAAAAGTGAATAAGGAAATATAAGTAAAACATCTTCAGTTGACTTACAAAAGGTTATACTCAAAATAAAGTTACTCAATGGGAAAAGCAGACCATTGACAGTCAATAATGTAAGGGCAGCAACAACCTTGCCCACCATCATGACCGCTGGTAGGTGATCAG